TTATCTGATGCACCACCTAAGAGGCAATTGTTTTTTTCTCTGCCTTTTCTGGCTGCATTTGGAAAGTCAAAATCTATAGTAGCAAAAAATGCTTATGATATGAAGGTGACCACTACATTAAGTTCTGCTGCCATGGCCACTGGCACTGTAGCTCATTCTACCGCAGCTAATTCAAGCATTATAGCTTCTTGTTACTTTCCTTTAAGAAGCAACTAAATGGGAGCTCACACGGCAAACTTTGTGGGTATCATCAGAGCCACTATTTACTAAAGAGTAGAGCAGAGTACCAAAGTAGTATCCCCCAATGACTGATCTTGGTGGTGTTGGTGATGATAAATCTGGTGTTGATATTACTGTTTCCCCCACCCCTGCAGACTTTTATCTCTGGCCATTAGCTTCTCAACTATAACCCAGAAGAATTACAAGAGGACTGTCTAAAAGGGATAAGTAGCGAGGAGAGGAATATATAGAGGGAGCAGAGTAGACAATATATTTTCATAAATTGAATTAAAGTAATTAGTAAAGACTACTGACTTTTGACCTAATAACAATCTCATTATGGTTAATATTTTTAGGGCAATTTTGATAGAATGCTGAGAGGAGAAACCAGATTAAATATATACTTTGGGCACCATAACAATTTCTGTTTGGATGGATTTTGTATTTGCTTCTCTATGTGATGTAATGTTTTGAGGGAAATCATGCTGACGTGTTCAAAGGCATAAGTGGGTGGCTGGAGCAGAGAAGTCCTGGCACTGGAAACAAGGGAAGTAGTCTTAATTTAATTTTCTATTTTAAATACAATGGAGTGGACAGAGGAGGGGCAGACATATGGTAACCTATAGTCCTATAATGGGTTTGCCAAAGTGTTTTGCGGCATGTGCCATAGCACTGCATTGTTCCTCAGTACAGGAATCATAGGGTCAATAGTTGGGAAGTGAATGCACATAATTTACTATAATCTAAATATTGGTTACTTAAAGTGCTTGTGTTTAAATAAATACTTGGTTACGGAATGTTTGTCAAAAACCCACACAGATATGCGCATAGTAAAATCTCGCACCTTTGCAAATACTCTTATAGAAACTGATAATGTGAAAAGAAGACATATTAACATGAAAATGTCATAAGTACTTTGCTTTAATTATTTGTTTAGGAAGTGGAAGTGTGAAGAAGGGGAATTCAATAGGTCAATATTCAAAGGACCGAGTAGTGAATGGCAGTCTTTGTTTGACCTTCTATACCACCTACATACACATTTCTTCATGCACAAACTTTGCTTGAATCCTGGGATCATAGGTATAAATGGTCCAGTGGTCTATTTATTAATCAGTCAATTGGGGTTGCATTGAAAACAAACTGTGAAATATAGTTGGAATTTTCAGACTATAGACTATATTTTAGGCTACTTGACATTTTAAGACATAATTAAAAACAAGAGTAATCTCAACACATTTTTCCTGGTAAAGTATTTTAAAGATAAGTAAACAAAAACAATCAAATAAATAAATAAAATATTCATTTAAAATATAAAATAAATATTTGTTTTCAGGAACTTGTTTTTAATTATATAATCTAGAAGCAAAAATAAAATTAGGATTAATGAGGCACGATTCCTACCTCCCAACATTGGATGGAAGTAGAGTGCGTGGAAGTGATGCAAGTTATACAATTTGTTCTTGTTCCTGCCAGGTCATTCCACGCACACGTGGTGACAGGTAGAGTACTGCTAAAGTGCCACAATTCTCCAGAATCACCTTGCACTTTACCCAAAGCAAAAAAAAAAAAGAAGGGCAGGTCCTTTTTCATTCAGAAAGTAACAGATATGTTAAAAAAAATATATAATTGTTCCTGGGCCCCATCTGAGTAGCTATCTTTCCCCAGGGAGAAGCCCCTGAATGACATATGAGGAGGATTTGAGTGTGGTTAAGGAGTTTAACCCCTTGATTGTAAAGGGTTGATTGTTAAGCATTGCTTTATAATGTGTGGGTACACCATTCACAAGGTTAAGCCTGTACTGGTATCCAGTAGATGCCAATTGCCTCCTACTCCAACTCATACAGAAATGAAGCGGGTTTAATAAAAACTTTTGGGAGCCACAAGGGCTAAGGTTTAATGGCAGAATGCTGTCAATAGGTTCGGGGACTTTTAGGAGATATCAAGATTCTGTGAGAGCTACAAAATTGACATCAGATACATATTTTGCTATTGACTCTTATTACATGATTCCAAATACTGGTGCTTAATATAACCAGTAGATATCAATGTATAAAAAATCACTATATTTATAAATGCTAGTAAGGGCAACCATCTTATCTACTTGCATTGAGTAATTGCCCACATTTTTGAAAACCGTTTATTGGAGATTTAGAAATAAGAAAGACTCATTCTAGGATCATTCTCTGGCCTATAGGAAATTAGTGCCTTGTTACCACAAAACTTTTCAGTTCTCGCTTGCACTTGTTGGAGTTAGTGAATGGGTGCATCTGCTATGATCTTCTACATCTCCTGCTAAACTGACAGGTGAATGGGCAATGGGCACTTTGGAACTGCATCCCTTGTACATTTTGTGCATTAGTAATGTAAAATTAGCAAAATGAGTTATGCAAGTTCTTTTACTATTAAACACAGAACTCATTTCTGCATAGATAAAAATAGCATACAACATTAAAACAGCTCCCTCTTAAATATACAGTATGCTCGCTCTCAATAATGGGAATTCTATTATAACATAGCACTTTAAACTTCACTTCTCCCTGACATTCTTATTTAATTAATAGGTGCAAGAGAAGAGATGAGAGCTATCAAAATGGTAAAGATTCTCCTGAGTAACTTCCTAGGTTCACTGGACCATAGATTATCCAGCTGTGCACAGCAGGAGCTGGAGCCAAGATTTAGGCAGCCACAGTATAATAGTAGCAGCTCCCTGATGCTTCATACTTCCTTTCTTGTCTTTTTTTCTTTTCTTTCTTTTTTTATTAGACTCAAACTTTTCATTATTATTACCTTTGAGCCATGCTATTTAGACTGAAAATTGCAGTAATGTTTTGTTTGTTATTACCTGTAAATATTACTAGATATGCAGTTGCATTAACATTGTATACATATAAACATACAAATAAATAAGTCAATTAAAAAAGTTAAAAAAAAAATATGAATATGACATTAGCTTATTTTGCTTATTTAGCTCTAAACAGCAGCAAAGAAAAAACATAGGAAACAAGTAACAAATCAGAAAAAAGGAATGTGTATATGAGGAGACATTATGCACCTCCTCTTTCTTTGATGCTCAGCAGGATACAAGTCAGCTCAGGGCATGATAACCATGACAGTTGTCATGGGCCCGCCAGTCCTGGGGGGCCCACACTGCTCTGGCAGTCCGAGACCCACATTCCTTATGTACACATATATATAGTGATTTTCGCTATATATATGTGCACTGAGGGCCCCTTGCTACCTGTACATTGCAGAGGGGGGCCCAGCAGCACACTCTGTCTTGCTTTCCAGATTTTCTCTGTCTAACCCCTGAAAGGTAAGAAGCAGGGAGGGGGGAATAAAATAAAAGATACACAAATACATGTAAAAAAATGCTTTCCCCCTTATTTTACACACACACACTGAATCCTTACAAGCACATACTCCGCACTCACTACACACACTACATTCACTATACACACTTTGCATTCACTAAAAACACACTACATTCACTATACACATTATGCATCCACTACACACACTACATTCACTATACACACTCTGCATTCACTACACAAACACACACACTACATTAACTATACACACTATGCACTCACTACACACACTCACTACATTCACTATACACACTCTGCAGTCACTACAAACCCACTTCATTCACTATACACACTTTGCACTCACTACAAACATACTAAATTCACTAAACACACTCTGTACTCACTACACACACACTACATTCACTATACTCACTTTGCACTCACTACAAACACACACTACATTCACTATACTCACTTTGCACTCACTACAAACACACACTACATTCATTATAAACATTCTGCATTCACTACACACACATGCACACACACACACACACACACACACACACACACTATATTCACTATACACACTTTGCATTCACTGCAAACACACTACATTCACTATGCACACTCTGCACGCACTAAACACACACACACACACACACACACATTACATTCACTATAGACACTCTGCACTCACTTCAAACCCACTACATTAACTATACACACTTAGCAATCACTAAAAACACACTACATACATTCACTATAAACACTCTGCATTCAATATAAACATCTCACAACACACACAACATTCACTATACACATTCTGTATTTACTAAAAACACACTACATTCACTATACACACTCTGCATTCACTACAAACACCTCACTACACACACAACACACACTACATTCACTATACACACTTTGCATTCACTGCAAACACACTAAATTCACTATGCACACTCTGCACTCACTACACACACACACACACACACACACACATTGCATTCACCATACACACTCTGCACTCACTTCAAACCCACTACATTAACTAAACACACTTTGCACTTACTACACACACACTACATTCACTATACACACTCTGCATTCACTACAAACACACTACATTTACTATACACACTTTGCAATCACTGAAAACATACTACATACATTCACTATAAACACTCTGCATTCACTACAAACACCTCACTACACACACAACATTCACTATACACACGCTGCACACACTACACACACACTACACCATACACACTCTGCATTTACTACAAACATACTACATTCACTATACACACTCTGCACTCACTACACAAGCACTACATTCAGTATTTACACTCTGCATTCACTACAAACATACTACATTCACTATACACACTCTGCACTCACTACACACACTACATTTACTATACACACTCGGCACTCATTACACACACACTACATTCACTATACATAGTTACATAGCTGAAAAGAGACTTGCGTCCATCAAGTTCAGCTTTCCTCACATTTGTTTTTTGCTGTTGATCCAAAAGAAGGCAAAAAAACCAGTTTGAAGCACTTCCAATTTTGCAACAAGCTAGGAAAAAAATTCCTTCTTGACCCCAGAATGGCAGTCAGATTTATCCTTGGATCAAGCAGTTATTACCCTACATTGAAAGATTATATCCTTGAATATTCTGTTTTTGCAAGTATGCATCTAGTAGCTGTTTGAACATCTGTATGGACTGATAAAACCACTTCTTCAGGCAGATAATTCCACATCCTTATTGTTCTTACAGTAAAAAAAAAACTTTGTTTTCCTTAGACAAAATCTTCTTTCTTCCAGTCTAAACACATGATCTTGTGTCCTATGTAAAGTCCGGTTTGTGAATAGATTTCCACACAATGGTTTGTATTGGCCCTGAATATATTTGCATAATGTTATCATATCCCCTCTCAGGCAAAGTTTTTCTAAACTAAATAGGTTTAAATGTGTTAACCTTTCTTCGTAGCTGATATGTTCCATTCCTTTTATTAATTTTGTAGCCCGCCTCTGCACTTTTTCTAGTGCCATATCATAATATCCTTATGCATTCCTCTGCACTCACTACACACATACACGCATACACATTACATTTACTATACACACTTTACACTCACTACAAACACACTACATTCACTAAACACACTTTGCACTGACTACACACACTGCATTCACTGCACACACTTTGCACTCACTACAAAAACACTATATTCACTAAACACACTCTGCGCTCACTGCACGCACACTACATTCACTGTACTCACTTTGCACTCACTACAAACACACTACATTTACTATGCACACTCTGCACTCACTACACACACACACACAAACACATTACATTCACTATACACGCTCTGCCCTCACTTAAAACCCACTACATTAACTATACACACTTTACACTCACTACAAACACACTACATTCACTAAACACGCTTTGCATTTACTACAAACACACTACATTCACTAAACACACTTTGCACTCACTGCACACACACTACATTCACTGTACACACTTAGCATGTATTACAAATACACTACATTCACTATACACACTTTACACTCACTACAAACACACTACATTCACTAAACACACTTTGCATTTACTACAAACACACTACTTTCACTAAACACACTTTGCACTCACTACACACACACTACATTCACTATACACACTCTGCATTCACTACAAACACACTATATTACTATACACACTTTGCAATCACTAAAAACACACTACATACATTCACTATACACACTCTGCATTCACTACAAACACCTCACTATACACGCAACATTCACTATACACACTCTGCATTTACTAAAACACACTACATTCACTATACACACTCTGCATTCACTACAAACACCTCACAATACACACAACATTCAATATATACACACTGCAAACACTATACACACACTAAACTATACACACTCTGCATTCACTACAAACACACTACATTCACTATACACACTCTGCACTCACTACACAAGCACTGCATTCAGTATACACACTTTGCATTCACTACTAACATACTACATTCATTATACACACTCTGCACTCACTAAACACACTATATTCACTATACACACTCTGCACTCTCTACACACACTACATTTACTATACACACTTGGCACTCACTACACACACCCACACTACATTCACTATACACACTCTGCATTCACTACAAGCACACTACATTCACTGTACACACTCTGCATTCACTACACACACTACATTCACTATACACAATCTGCAGTCACTACACACACTACATTCACTATTCACACCTACATTAACTACACACCCTCTGCATCTAATGCATAAAAACATTACATACATTTCACAAAATGTACAATCTGCATCCACTGTACATACTGCATCCATGACACATCCACTACACACATTCTACATGCACTATACACACACCACATTCAGTACACACACACACACACTTCATTCTTGTGGGCGGACTTGGGGCAGGCCCTGTGGGTGGACTTGGAGTCGGGCCCTCGGGGGCCCAGACCCAAGCTGTATAAGGGCCCCCAAAATTTCTGATGGCAGCACTGGGTCAGAGTATAAATACTTCTAGTGTGTTGTGGTTGTAATTTGTTTTAATTGACACCAGTGTTTATATTTAAATGTACAGTATCTCACAAAAAGTGAGTACACCCCTCACATTTTTGTAAATATTTTATGATATCTTTTCATGTGACAACACTAAAGAAATGACACTCTGCTACAATGTAAAGTAATAAGTGTACAGCTTGCATAACAGTGTAAGTTTGCTGTCCCCTCAAAATTACTCAACAAACAGCCATTAATGTCTAAACCGTTGGCAACAAAAGTGAGTACACCCCAAGTGGAAATGTCTAACTTGGGCCCAAAGTGTCAATATTTTTTGTGGCCAGCACTGCATTAACCCTCATTGACATGGAGTTCACCAGAGCTTCACAGGTTGCCACTGGAGTCCTCTTCCTCTCCTCCATGATGACATCACGGAGCTGGTGGATGTTAGAGACCTTGCGCTCCCCCATCTTCTGTTTGAGATGCTCAATAGGGTTTAGGTCTGGAGACATGCTTGACCAGTCCATCACCTTTACCTTCATCTGCTTTAGCAAGGCAATGGTCATCTTGGAGGTGTGTTTGGGGTCATTATCATGTTGGAATAATACACTGCGGCCAAGTCTCCAATGGAGGGGATCATGTTCTGCTTCAGTATGTCGCAGTACATGTTGGCATTCATGGTTCCCTCAATAAACTGTAGCTCCCAGTACCGGCAGCACTCATGCAGGCCCAGACCATGACACTCCCACCACCATGCTTGACTGTACGCAAGACACACTTGACTTTGTACTCCTCACCTGGTTGCCGCCACACACGCTTGACACCATCTGAACCAAATAAGTTTATCTTGGTCTCATCGGACCACAGGACATGGTTTGAGCATTGCCAGGCTGATACCCCCATCCCTTCAACCTCTGCATCAATGCTGGCAGCACTCATACATCTATTTCCTAAAGACAACCTCTGGATATGATGCTGAACATGTGCACTTAACTTCTTTGGTCGACCATGGCGAGGCTTGTTCTTAGTGGAACCTGTCCTATGAAATCGCTGTATGGTGTTACCCTGGGCCAAGCGCACCAGCATATGGTCTCACAAGGGGTCTGAGGATCTCATCTCGGTACCTAATGGCAGTCAGGCTACCACTGGCGAGCATATGGGCGGCTGAGGGGCCCCCCAAAGAAATGCCACCCCATACTATTACTGACCCACTGCCAAACCGGTCATGCTGGATGATGTTGTAGGCAGCAGAACATTCTCCATGGCGTCTCCAGACTCTCTCAAGTCTGTCACATGTGCTCAGCGTGAACCTGCTTTCATCTGTGTAGAGCACAGGGCGCCAGTGGCGAATTTTCCTATCTTGGTGTTCTCTGGCAAATGCCAAATGGCCTGCATGGTGTTGGGCTGTACAACCCTCATGGAGTCTGTTTCTGTCCGTTTGAGCAGACACATGCACATTTGTAGCCTGCTGGAGGTCATTTTGCAGGGCTCTGGCAGTGCTCCTCCTTGCACAAAGGCGGAGGTAGCGGTCCTGCTGCTGGGTTGTTGCCCTCCTACAGCCTCCTCCACGTCTCCTGATGTACTGGCCTGTCTCCTGGTAGCGCCTCCATGCTCTGGACACTACACTGACAGACACAGCAAACCTTCTTGCCACAGCTCACATTGATGTGTCATCCTGGATGAGCTTCACTACCTGAGCCATTTGTGTGGGTTGTAGACTCTCTCATGCTACCACTAGAGTGAAAGCACCGCCAGCATTCAAACGTGACCAAAACATCAGCCAGGAAGCATAGGAACTGAGAAGTGGTCTGTGGTCACCACCTGCAGAACCACTCCTTTATTGGGGGTGTCTTGCTAATTGCCTATAATTTCCACCTGTTGTCTATCCCATTTGCACAACAGCATGTGCAATTGATTGTCACTCAGTGTTGCTTCCCAAGTGGACAGTTTGATTTCATAAAAGTATTGTTTAAGTGTTCCCTTTATTTTTTTGAGCAGTGTAGGTAATTCTTTATTGGTTATCCTGTCTTAGGTGCAGTTAGGTGCTCCTCAACGCTTTTGGGTCAATGGTGGAAGCTCCTTTATCTGCTAGATTTGGTGTGACTCACATCTTTGTCAATTTGCTTTATGAGGTTGATGCAGCCTTTTCCCTTTTGCCTTCCCACTTTCCGGGACATTTGGAAGCATTCAAGTACAACTTTCAGCTTCTCACATCCAACCCTACTAAGCTTGGCCAGCAATTCACATAATTTACTGTCTCTGCCCTCACATGACCGCCAGTTGTGATCTTGCGACTTGCAAGAACGCGGCAGCCCTCTTGTTCACATTTGCAAGCTTTTTTCTCTGTGAGTTTGGTTAGCTGAAGAGTGAAGGAGTGTAAGGGATCAGCAACGGTGATTACTCTCATTCTCTGCACATTTTAAATGCCACATACTTCAAGTGCGGAGAATATTCACTGTCTGCCTGTTTTGCATAAGTGCCTGTGGCCAACTGCGATTCTTCAATAGGACTTTGAGCTAAAAAAAAAAAATCAACATAAAATCTCAGCAAACAAACATGGAGATTCAGTTTCACCATAAATCCACCACTACTTCACAGTATTGCAATATCAGTGTGTCCTACGCTAATTCCATTGAGGGAGACAAATTAAACAGTGCTTGTGCTAAATAAGGAAAGTGTTCACTGCTACTCTTGCAAGAGCTGTTATTTGGAAGGGCTAGTTGGCAGAGGTGCGGTGCCACCAGCTGTTTCTGGCCCTCAGATTCTTCCAATCTTGGTACCCTGCGGTCTCTGGACGTCCAGGGTTACAGTATCAGCGGGTAGCTGATAGAGGCAGAGGAACCCATAGTCATGAATGAGCAAGATTCTCTACTGTTGTCACCTGAGCTATACCAATATGCCTTATATTGCAGGCATATTTCTCATTTTTTCCAGAAGTCAGCAGAAATATCAGGATATGCATAGATCTGTCAGACAGTTTACAGTTACAGGATAGAATTTATCTACCTTCGCTAGAAAAACTCCCACCTTGCCCTATCCATTGGTCAAGGGACTACTCTCTTCTCATCAACACAGAAATAGCTCTCTACAGTGTGAATTGTTTGGAATGTAAA